ACATCTAGCTGCAGAACTTCAGAGGGAGGATGTTAGGTACTTGTCCTGATGAACTTGAATCCTGAGCAAAGTGGGAGCTGCTGTGAGGCTACAAACAAGTGGGAAATACAAAAGCAAAACCGGGTCTCTGGGGGTACAAGCAGTGGACTGGGGTTTAGGGCACTACAGGATTTAGCCTGGAGCTGTGGTGATTTGCATAATCTTTTGGAATTTTATGTGGCATGTGGGTCTTAAGGGTCCAGAGTTTTTTGGCTTCTTGCCATGTTTCTGGCTTCCTAACCTTGCTGCTTCTCAATCCCTAAGGCCATTTGATCAGGAAAATTTGTTTCCATTCCTGTCCAGTGAAAGGCAAACCTCTGGGAATTATACTGATTTCCAGGTTAAACAACTTTTCCTAGGCAACCCTTGAAAAAGGAGTTCAAATATGGTGTGTGTATGTGTGTGTGTGTGTGTGTGTGTGTGTGTGTGTGTATGTGTGTGTGTGTGTGGTGTGTAAACGTACACGTGCTGGTACTGGGGCTTGAACTCAGGGTATGGCCTCTGTCCCTGAGTTATTTTTTTTCTTTTTTTTCCATTAAAGGCTGGCACTCTACCACTTGAACCACATTTTTAGTTCTGGGTTCTTGGCGGTTACTTGGAGATAAGAGTCTCATGGACTTTCCTGCATGGGCTAGCTTTGAACCATAATCCTAAAATCTCAGCCTCCTCAGTTACTAGGATTAAAAGCCACTGGCATCTGGCTCAACTATGTTTTTTTTAATGTATCATTTTAAAGATATGGATATTTCTCTTTCATTCCTCCAGTAATATTAGGTGATGGGTCCCTGAGAGCTTCAAAATAAGGTCCAAATGACTTGATTTCAAAACAGAGTTTGAGTACTTATGGCTATAACACATCAGGAATCACAGGCTGCTCCTCTTAGAACTGCATTGTAAGAAAAGATTTCACTGATTGCACTATTTTAATCTACTTCCGAATTACTCAGAGAAATCACTCTTATATACGTTACTAGTTAGATTTCTGGTGGGAGGAAGAGGAGAAAATACACTTGAGTCAGTGTTCATTAATGCTATGCAGATATCAGTAGTTTTGCTTAACAAGTCATTTGTAAGACAGGTGCTTTCCATATCTCATGCAAACTGTTTTGAAATTTCAAGTTACACATATATCTAGATTACATCTAGTGCTTAATCAATTGAACACTTACAAATAATGGGCAAATGATTTGTTGTACAGATTTGGGCTCTGTGTTTCATGCAGTGAGAATAACATTTTTATTTTAACACTTAGGCAATTGATTGTAAACTTTGAGGTGATATAATTTAAATGGATCTAAACAGTCCATTAGCTGTGTAAGTACCTCCTCAACTTGCCAAGCTATAGCTTTATGCTAAGCTGTTGTGTACTGGGTTACATAATCCCCTGCATTCATCTTCTCCACCTATTTAGACTGCATTGTCTCTCTTTGACTTCGCTTCTCAGTGTCAACACCATGTATAGAAAATGGATTGGGGCCACTATTTTTTTTTCCCCTCATGGAGAGTTTGGAGAATTGAATGGACTCAGAATTACATACTATCTGGTTTCCCCCATTTGGTTATGTTGACTGTAAACCTAGTATGGTTTTCAAGGTGATGAGAAAATGTCGAAGCTCAGTGACCATGGGGATTTTAAGGCTGGTTGTGGCCTTACAAAAATAACGTCAGCTGTGATAATGTACAACAGACTGAGTTCCTGAAAATCCTTTCTTTTTTCCCTCCCTCACCTTCTATTGACTCTTTTGAGAGATGGGGGCATGAATTTCAAGGCATTTCTTCTACAATTTAGGGAAAAGTATCTTATGAATTAAAAATAAAGTATACTTATTTAAAGTATGATTCAGAGACTCTTTCAGTTGTCTGTTGCTAATGGACAACTTGAAGGAGGTGGTATCCTGGCAGTTGAGCTGATGCTACTCTTGGTCAATTCCTCTGACCCAGAGCACAGGTAAATTGAGCAAATGCATCATTGAACCAAGATTCAGAAGGCCATGAACTGTTGCGGTAGTTTTCATTAGACACTTACAAAGGAAAGCATTTAGCTACATGAAACTTTTTTGTATATCTGCATGGAGATTACCATAAGTATGTAGGTGATTTGCACAGATACTTCTCTCTCATATTAGCTTTATATAGTGTTTATTGTGATATTCTTTGAGGCTTACTATATAAAACAAGTTCTTTTAACTTAAACACAGTCAGATTTTCTGAGTTAGGGGAACATTTTTTTTTAGGGTAAGCATGTGAGCTTTACCTAGCAGGAGAAGAATTGGTTCCTGCCTCAATTTATCCATCCTCTAGGATGGTTTGTAAGTTCCAAACTCTACGTAATCATTCAGGATCTTAGAGAAGTAGAACAGAAGTATGTGGACTACTCAGATTATTGGCCAAGAGTTAGACAAAAGTCTAGAGGTACTCCAGATCCTGATCGCCACACACTTATTCTTACACATCCATTTCTAGGCATTAAAACAGACAATCCCTAAAATTCCTTTTAGTGCCAAAATTTATTATTTTGACAGACTCCTTCCTCTAATTACATGGAAAAAAATTAAGCACCACCTAGCACCTTATAGCTAGTATATTCAAAGGCTTCCCTGTTTTGAAGAATCCTTGGCTTCTCTTTATAGGCATTGCTTTCTGGTCATACTGAACTCAGCTCAGTGGTGCAGGTTAGATGCTCATAGGTGATGCCCAGTGGTTTCCCATGTGTAGTCCTAAGGACATGCAAGGTAGTTGTCTTGATGCATGTCCATTTCAGTAGGAACAGAGTTTTGTTGTGACAGCTGCATTTGATTTGTCATCTTCTACTCCAGACTAGAGTCACCTCTGGGTCTATTGTCCAGTTTCATTTCAACAAGTCCACCTCTCCAGAAATGAGAAGAAATAGACAGGTCACTGGAAGATTGTATCGATCTGTCTCAAACATGCAGGCAGTGCCAAATTTCTGCGCCATGTGTGTTGGGGGGCTATTTAAACAAAATGCATCAGGCATTGATTATATATCCAATGGTCCTTGTTCCTTATAATTGTGTAAGATACAGGTCAGTCATATAGGTGGTCAGCTGTTTGGGTTTATGCCAGTGTGTGCAAGCAAAAATACACAGGTAGACACATACTATTGAGTCCCTGTAGAACACATGGAAGGAACTTCTTTAAGTGTCAAATATGAAGCTGAGGTTCATTTTTAAAGGTATCTTAACATTATGGTTACTTTAATAATATGTAGCAGGTAGTTGTCTCTCCACATAATAAAAATAGCTCTCCTACCTTCCTTACTGCTCATAAGAAAAATGCTCATTTATGTTAGTTCAGTAATAAGATAAATATCAGTTGTGTGAACTTGGCTAGAATATAGTTCTGCAGGGAATGTAGAATTCTTTCAACTTTACTTAATGACTCCAGTTTTTCAAGGGAAATTGCCAATCTAGGTTTCTATTGTTGCCGATTATATTTTTTTATTAATAAGGTGCTTTTTAAAGAGCTTTTGACTAACTTTATATGACATAGAGTATACTAACTAGTTCACTGTATAGGAGAGTGGCAAGAAGACAAATGGAAGTCGACATACTATGTGATAAACGTATACGTCAAATCAACAAATGATGAAATTAACTACGTCCTGTTCTCTTCATTTGATAACTAGATCTTGGTAGCTACCAGGACTGTACTTTTAAGGTCTGCATGTAGAAGTTTTAGATACCTTGGAGTTTTGCACTACAAGATTGCAATATAGGGAGAAACAGCCACCCCCTTGATCCTTAGCTCAAGGCCTGCCTCCATTCTTTCCCCACCTTTGGCTCTGTCCTGTATCACAAGGGGTCTTGATGAATGTATGTGGATGCCTTGTTCCATGTTGTAAGCTCTGTCACTTCATGCAGATAGTCCCCTATGGCTCCCCTTGTACTGCAAGGCATAGCTTTTTTAGGTAGGGACTTAGATAATCTCAGGTGTTGGAATTTGGTCCTAAACGAATATGGCTTCCATACTGGGATGGCATCATGATCCTATATGGGGGAAGGTTGTGGCCATGGAAAGGTTCAATCAGAGCCATCCTGAAAGGGGACCTCCCTCCCCGTCCCCACTGCAAAAGTCCCTTTGTTTGAGACTAAGCGCAGTATTGCTATGTCCTCAAGAACATATTACTAAATTTTACTCTCTTCTTTCTTTCTTTTTTTTTTGACGGTCATGAGGCTTGAACTCTGGGCCTGGGTGCTGTCCCTGTGCTTTTCAGCTCAAGGCTAGTGCTCTGGCACCTGAGCCACAGCGCCACTTCTGACATTTTCTATTTATGAGGTGCTGAGGAATCGAACTCAGGGCCTCATGCATGCGAGGCAAGCACTCTACCACTGAGCCACCTTTCCAGCCCTAATTTTACTCTATTCTAATTTTCTCACCTGCTGATCACCTTCTCAAGTCTAACTTCCTCTTTAACCACCCATTCAGGTTCCACTGGGTCCAGGACTCTATCACAGAAACAAAAGTTAGTGAGTTCTTAATGGGTGGAAATCAGAGCCAAATCTTTCAGGGTAATTGATTTTAGTTCTTGGTCAGTAAAAGGTACCTACTGTGAAAGAGTCCTTTGTCAGAACAGTTAACTAGCCAGTCTATATCAGCTCTTCTAGTATTTAAAAACCATGGCCAAGGCCAAAAGCAATGTAACTCTTGCTGGTCTGTTTTGCATAAAATTTCTCTCTAGGTTTTTTTTTTTAAATATCTAAAGGAGTAGCCTCCAGCTCTTCTGCCCCATTTTGTGCATCTTCTATCCTGATGTAGATGCCTTATTGATCTTTAATGCCTCTTGTGCCAGTTTCCCTGCTATGTAGATAGAGCCTGGAGGGAATGCAGACTTGGAACCAGGGTACGGGCAATGCCCTCTGGCTGTGTTCTCTTCAGTATTGGTATAGATCTGACTCTTGCCAGTCGAGTGTTGACTCCTGTCTACTTTTCTTTCCCGACAGCTCGAGAGGAGAACGTGGCTACTTTCCGAGGTTCAGAATACCTGTGCTACGACCTGTCCCAGAACCCCATCCAGAGCAGCAGTGATGAAATCACCCTGTCCTTTAAGACCTGGCAGCGCAATGGGCTCATCCTGCACACGGGCAAGTCGGCGGACTATGTCAACCTGGCTCTGAAGGATGGCGCGGTCTCCTTGGTCATTAACCTGGGGTCCGGAGCCTTTGAGGCCATTGTAGAGCCAGTGAATGGAAAATTCAATGACAACGCTTGGCACGATGTCAAAGTGACACGCAACCTCCGGCAGGTAATGGCTGGGGGAGAGAGAGAGTCTGGAAGGCTCCCATTGGGTAGAAAACTTGTGATACAGGTGAAGACGGGTAGAGACCTATAGATTTGGGTATGTCAGAGTCTTTCTCCCAGTCTTTGCAGTTTCACAAGGGAAAAAAAATGATTAAAATATGTTTCTCCTCATACTTCAATTCTTCTTTTTGTGCTTGTTATTTAAGAACAAAAATCAGTTGTGTAGATAATAAAAGTGATAAGTACTTTCATCCCTTTTCCTCCGCCTTCCTTCTTTTATTTTTCTAAATCATTTTCTTAATTACATTGGAATCTTATCATGTTATTGTTAAATTCGATTAGGGACAGCATTTTGTTGCTGCCGCTTGACGGATTTTCCTCATTTCTTTGAATATATGTTTTCCTTTGTTAATGAAGTGAGCCACTGTCATGATGTTGTCATACTTTTAACTCCTACCAGAAAATTTTCTTTTTCCTCCCTGTAACTTTAATTTGTTATCCCTCCTCAACTGTTTTCTTTGTTTCTTCCCCTGTTGTGTTAACCCCTCAACTTGGCATTAGCTGGGATTTTTCTGAATTCCTGTTTCTCTGTTCCCTGATGTGATGGTCCTACTTTATTTCCCTGGTCTTTTACCTCCAAGACTCTTCTGTTGACTGGCAGGCCTGGGAAGTGGAAGGAACCAAATAAAATGTCAACTTTGGAGCAGCTTTCCTGATTCTGGGCGTGCTTGAGAACTCACTCCCAGCACTTGCGGATTCTAAGCAGGCAACTTCGTCAGGTGACAATACTTCCAGGGAGTCTGAGCCAAGCAAAGTGGCCTTCCATTTCATAATAATTATAATAATCACAAACTAATAATTAAAATAAGAAGAGGAGCAATACCTTATTAGCACATAGTAGTAAAAACATTTCCCATAGAAGTCATGATCTGTGCTGAGATATTTTTTTTTTCTTTTCATGCTACTATTTCCACTTGGTTTTCCTACTGGTGAATCTGTCAGGCAACCTAGTTGGATAGCGTTCATCCTGCATTAATCAGAAAACAGTATGCAAATTTCCAGAAAGTGCTTATCAAATTTATTCAACAATATGTTTAATTTAATGCTTTTTCATGTAGACATGAAAGCATAAGACATGACAGGTGCTTACATACATTTTGTGTTTGGTAAAAGTGTGACTCTTAAGTAATACTAAGCAGATAATATAGGCTAGCACACATTGGAAAGAAACTATAGTCAAAACATTCATTTGCACTTGAATGAGTCAAAGAAGCCACCTGGTTGGGGGATTCCATTCTATCTGAGGTAACATTGTCAAGTAACACAAGACTTAAAGACCTCAACCTTCTTACCTTACTGTGAATTTGACTTTTGAGTCATGGTTCTGCTTTCCCTGCAATTCCAAAAGAACTCGAATGCTGGTGTTTTCTTTCATTGTCCCCTGTCTATAGTACTCAGAAAGAACTCCTTTCCTGCCAAGAAAGCCCAAACAAATCTCCATTTGCTGATACAAAAGTATAAAGACTAGGACAAAGAGTGATATATGACCTTTTGCCAGGTTTGATCGGCAGGTACACAATAACACCCTTTAGACATTAGGCAATAGAAGTTTAGATTTTGATGCACCGAAGAACATCGTGAAGCTACAGTTCTCAGCAACTCCATCCTTACTTCTCTCCAAACACAACTGCCTAACAAAGGTTCAATTTTATTTTTACTAAACACATTTTTGTAAAATAGTACCAGGTCTCAATTAAGTTCTTTAAATGAAAGATGATAAACCACACTGTAATTCAAATATTTGTTGTGATGTTTGTGGTCAAAGCAAGTGGAGAAAAGCCACCCCCAAAGGGTTTCTATTATGTTCTGTTTCAAGTTCAAAGGCCCAACTCCTCTCTCTGCCCTTGGACAAGCCACTTAACCTTACTCCAGCACAGCTTCCATTTGTGAAATGCTGATTACAATGCTCCCCAGCCATGTGTGGTGGCTAAATATGCAAAGCGCCTTCTGTTCCAGAAGGATTATGAGCTCATCCATGGTCTCAGTGCTAGAGTCACTGTGACGTGCAGATGATTTACAGGCTGAGCATTTGGCCCAGAGGTGACTGCTTCTGTCTGGTGCCAATATGCAGCTAAGTAGAGCTCTCTGTCCTAGACACGTCCTCAGAGGTCCTAAGGTAATAGGGTATCTCCTCACAGAGCATAGGAAGCGCGTGTGAAAAAGCACCCCTATAATTGGACCTCATTGAAATCCTGATTGAATTTTGTTTCCAAATGTACTTGTACCAAATGTACTGAAATAGAGGGAAATCTCTGAAAGGCAGAGTTGATTTTTGCAAATGAAATCTTTTTAGTGTTGAATAATCTAAGATTATTATTTTGACTGTTCAAAATATTTTATGACATCTTTTGAGTTCCCTAGAATATGCTTGAAGGAGTGGGAAGCTCCTTATCTATTCCAAATAAATTATAAATAGCTTTATAAATATTGGATGGCAAGCTTATGGCAGCGCATCCACATTATTGGTAAGATCCAACAACGGCTTCTGTAGAAAAAAAAACTATCTGAGGAAAATTTACCGAGACATTCCTGGAGGGCAGAACTCTTCATTTCTTCCTTCAAAGTCACCAATTTGTAGTTCTGTCTTAAAGTCAACTCAGAACCAAGCCCAGGTATTTTACTGGACTGTCTGTATTTGCTCCCAATTATAACTGTTATTCAGCTGAAGGTAGTAGAAGTGTACATGTGTACACATGTGCGTACAGAGTAGGTTTGCCTTTAACTTGCCAGAGACCAAGGCCAACACCCACTCTTTAATTGTCTTACCTCTTGTTGCCACATGGTTAAACCATAGATACAAAACTGGAGCTGCAGATCTTCTACCCTGTCAGCCTCCCAGCTCGAGGTGTGTTGGCAATGTTGTGCTTGACGTCAGTGACAAGGAGATTGATTGTAGGGAGGGAGGGCATCTCTAAACCATTTTAACATGTTCTTCCCCCCAATCTCCATATAAGAACTTGCTTGAAAGCTTGGGCAGAGTTGTTCTGAAGAAATGTAGGCAGAGAGGTTCCTCCTCACTCCCACCCATTCTGGCAAAGTCAATAAAACATGATAACCTCATTAGTCAATACAGAAGACTTAACTTCTTTTAATTGGTGCATTATAACTGACAGAATTATTCTAAAATGCACAAATTGCACAAATCCATATGGGGCCTGGGGATCTTTATATTGCCAATGAAAATCCTTTGTGAGGTATGTCCTACATGGATTTTCTTTCTAGAACAAGGTCCTACTGGAGTTAGATTCAGATGTGAAAAATAGCAACCTCCCCGCCACTCCCCCCGCCCCGCAACCCAACCTATTTGATATGTAGCTGTTTCTCTATTTGCTGAACTGTAAACTTTGGGTGTCTTTTCTTTCAGAACAGGGGAATGTGTATGATTTAGAGGGTGGGAAGGGAGCCTGGGTAGTATTCATTCAAAAGAGGTCCTGGGAAGTAAGTATAATGCTAGTAGTGGGCATTGAGATGAAGTGTGGTTTGAGCAGTGCTGGGAGGGAGCCAGTGGGCCACTCCTGTCCTGGCTCTGTCCCTGGGGCCGGGTTTTCCATGAAGTCCAGGTCTCATTGTCGTCCCCCCACCCTCTCTTTCTGTGTTGGGTATCTTTTTTTTGAAAAACTAACACAAGATCATTCATGCAATGTGTCATTTACTAACCGACTAATGTACTAACACCCTAACGACTCATCTTTGTTTTTAGTTTTTTTAATTAACAATCGTTCTGTTCACAATTTTTAATTTCCTTTCTTCCCCCTTCTCCGCAAAGCACTCAGGCATCGGACACGCTATGGTAAACAAACTACATTGTCTGGTAGATATCATTCTTATTGTCTCTTTTTTTGGGTTTGCCGTGTGTTGCCCCTCTTCTCCTCCCCTGCCCCATACCTCCTCTTTGATTCTCTTTATACTTATTTCTCCTTCTTTGTTCGACTTTTTATTTTGTTGTCGGAAAACCGAATGCAATAGTTTTCTTTTTCCTTAAAATAAAATTGGACAGGGATCTATGCCTGTCCTAGAAATAATATTTCATTGAGTTGGGCGAAGCCATGTTCCTTTTCTCTAGTTACTACCCCGCCCCTCCCTTAAAAGTATTTTTATGGGAATGTTTCCATTTAGTTAAAATTTTCTTTTATTCTTTTGCAACTGCCAAGTTACAGACTAGGAACGACAGAGATTTCTAGTGAGACAGCCTTGTCTCAGTGTCTTCCTCTGCCCCCTTCTCTTCTTCCTTTCTCTTTCCTCTCCTTCCCGCACTCCCTAATCCCTATTCTCTTCCCCTTTTGTGTGGCCATAGCTGCTGCAGGTGATCTGGGGGTGAAGGTGCTCCTGGTCCTATACTCTTCCTTCCCTTTCTATTTCCTTATCCTCCCATCACCATGACCGAAGGGAGCTCCACTAATTGTGTTCCCCATCCAGCTCTGCATGGCATGGTCCTGTCTAGTGGAACATCCCATTGGCATCAGTACTTGTCCCATCATTTTCCTCCCCCGTACTAACAACCTATTAACCATTAACCCAATTCTATTTTCTTCTCTTTGGTTTCCTCAATCTGCATTCTCCACTCATACTTCATATATTTTTGGGGTTGGGTTTGGACTTTTCTTTTCTTTTCTTTTTTGTCCTTTCTTTTTCTTTCTTACTTTAGTGAGGGAGGTGGCAGGTAGGGGAAGGAATTTATTTTTATTTTATTTTTAGTTTTGAGTGATTTTTTTTAACCCATCCCATCTCCTTTTTCAGTTTGTTCAGTGCATGTAAGTGTGAAGTTGATTTTGATTCTTCTATTTCTCCTCACCCTTTCCCACAGTCCTTTTTGTTTTCTTCTGCCTTTTCTCTTGGCTCCAGATTATTTTCGCATGGGAGCTTTAATGTATGGTGTGTGCACGCTTTGAGGTGCCATCTTTTTTCTTTGCCCTCTGTTCCTCTAATGGACGTTGGGTGTTTCGGTGCTATTTTCATTCCCCCATGGGCGTTATCACCATTCCTTTTAAAAATATTTTGTTAGAGTTGCCTTTTGGGTTTCGGTTATTTCTTCTCTTGGTGGTGGCGGCAGCTGGAGGAGGGCAGGGGTTGGTATCTTGGGGTCCATAGCATGAATCATCCTCAGCACATCCGAATACAGACCCTTCTCCTTCCCTCCCACAATGCATGTCTGTCATGTGGCGTGAGCCAAGAAAGAAACAAATTTAAAAAGAAAAGAAAAAAAGAAAAACCATCAACAACCAAAGACCAACCCCTAACAAACCCCATTGTCAAATGTCTCCTTTGCTGTTTTTCATTACCACCATGATTAACAATCATATAAGAAAATTCACATCATTTTAGCAATAAACTAAGTCAAGTGATATCGTCCGAGGATGGTTCCATTTTCTAGCCTGACTGAGAAAGATGTCAAATGGGTAGAACAAGGTGTTGGACTTGGCAATTCTAACAAACTCTCCCATGTGTAGGCTGTAGGCTTGGAACACAGGGAGCAGACCAGAAAATGGAACTTGGATGCACATACTAAAAGCAAAGCAAATTGACAAAGAATACTTCACCAAAATCTTAAAGACAGTGATGCTACAAGTAGGGGAAGTCATTGGAGTTTGATAGAACTGTAAGGTCATTGTTGGGAATTTTTTCTGTCCCTATGTCCCATCACCAGGTGACAATCTCTGTGGATGGCATCCTCACCACAACGGGCTACACTCAGGAGGATTACACCATGCTGGGCTCTGATGATTTCTTCTACGTGGGAGGAAGCCCAAGTACAGCTGACTTGCCAGGTTCACCTGTGAGCAACAACTTCATGGGTTGTCTTAAAGAGGTAAAGTTCACACACCTCCATTAAATGCACCGTGTCTTATAGCTATTTATGAACAAATGAGATCATTCTATCAATGACTGTATCTGATGTCTAATCTAATTTATAAGAGGAGAGGGCTTTGGACTTGGGAGATATCCTACTCCTTCGTACTAGTATATGCTGGCTGGGCAACTTTGGGTTTGTCATTGAAATATGTCACTATGACTATTTCATTTAATTAATGGAGTCTCTTGTCCCACAGGTCTCTGTGCTTTATAAATTAAATGCAGTGTTACAGATAAAAGACCTTTGAATGCACAAGGAAGTTGACACTTGTGAAGTCTGATTTTGTGCTTTCTAACTCTAGCTAGAAGTAGCTCCATTTCTGCTTGTGTGTACAAAAAATAATATACGTTATTTTACCTTTGCCAAGTGTGGTGTCCCTATGAGTGTCATTATTGAAATGAAGGAAAATTCTCAGACTATAACGTTAAGGGTCAGAAGTTCTCCCTCCCTCCCTCCCTCCCTCTCTCCTTCCCCTCCCTCCCTCCTTTCCTCTCTCCCTCCCTTCCTTCCTTCCTCTCTCCCTCCCTCCCTCCCTCTCTCCCTTCCTTCCTCCCTTCCTTCCTTCCTTCCTTCCTTCCTTGCTTTTCTGAAAGCTAGTAGCCATAGCTTCAAGAAAGCAGTGGGTTTTTGCCATTATTCATTTTCAACCATTGTAGCTGATGTGTTGAGATCTCTATCTGAGAGCAAAGGATCTTCATTCAAGTGGAAGTTCAATCTCTAAGGTCAATTGTTGAGGCAAAAAGAATCAGACTTGATTGGTAGAATTCTTTCAGAACACTCTGTCATCAGAACAGTACACTGTACATTTTTGTTTAATCTAAGCTAAGCTTGATTGCCTGAGATATCTATAACCATATCCCTAGGGAAAGTCTGTGAGAAGCTAACAGTGTTCCTTCTTGTAGATAAAAATCTCTTGTGACATTGTATGAGCTTCCTCTCAGGGCATACGTTTTATTCTTATTATGGTTATGTGAAATTTGTTGAACCACAGATATATAAGAGATGGCACCATACTTGCATTCATTTATGTCACTGGACTGCAAAACCATCATGTTAAGACAAGAAACGCGTCTGTTTTGCCTGGCATATAATAGGTGCAAAGTAAGGATTTATTGAGTGGATCAAATCATTAAATAATAATCAGGTACATTTTAATATGCTGGTGGGTCTTTATAAGGCATAGTCTCCATGCTCAGACTATCATCTAAGAAGGAAAATTGTGATCAGTAAGTAAATAATTACACTGAACACATGGTGTCCAGTGCCACAGTCTAAATGCTTTGACTGATTGAAGAAGCAGATACACTTTAGTGGTAGTCAGGTTTAGAGAAGAAGTGACATTTGAGCTGAGTTTTGTTGCAATAAACCCTATGTGAATTGAGAGGAAAGGGTGGAAAGGAAAAACATGACAAAGGAAGGAACAATCCAATTATAGCTTTGTACTGTCGTCAGTCTTAAGGGCAAATTAAGAGGAGAATCCAAAAACTGCTTTTCTTTTCTCTGCCTATGTTACCTCGGGTCCTGCTAGCTTTGGGGATTTCACTGTCATTTCTGAAGGAATTATGGTAGGCCTAGAGCACTTCTTTCCTGGGATTTTCTCCTATTTGGATAGAATACAGGCATAAACTACTCAATATGTAAAGAACCCTGAAAGACACTTAGCCACTGTTAAATCACACAACGTTGGAATTGTACTCCCATCAAAACTAGATTACAACTTTTGCATTAGCAAGATGTGGCTCAAGAGTAAATGAAAGAATATGTTGCCATGGAAATTTCCTCCATTTCCATAGTGCAACAGTTCTGAACATGGAATTTCCTAGATGAGATTAAAGGGTACACTTTTCTTCTGTACATAATCATATTGAACCATTTCTCAGCGATGTATTTTGAGACAGAAGAGCAATTTCTGAATCACAAATCTTTGATCTATTAACTAGGAAGGATAGCCTTGAACATTTAAAAACAAATCTCAGAAAAATGTAAAGTTGACTTATGTGGAACCTAAGATAACACACACGCACGCACACACACACACACACACACACACACACACACAAAAGATTACACACACCACACACCACGTATGCTTCCCAAGTAATAAGCCAAAATATTCAAAAGTCTGTCAGGAGTGTCACTAGCTCAAAAATTTGAGATAGTTTTGAAAATACTGTCACTATTAGAACTAACTATTAGGAAGCTGCATGAATCTGTGTTTGAATACAGACTAAGTTAGCAAAAGGAATATCCAAAACATGAAGTAGCAGTCAAAATGAGAATTCTGTTACATTCCATCCTTTCTCTGCTGTGCATAGAGAATCTTATGGTCTTTCTAAGAAAGACCGTCTGAGTGCTTGAACACATACCTTTGAGTCAAAAGTAGTCTTATTATTCTCCACTTAATTCTTACAACTCGCTTTTTGTGAATGTCAGAGGAAATCTCTTATTCTTACTTTTTGTCTTTAATAAATTAGTGAACAAGAAGAACTTCCCACTATGATTGCATTTAGCTCCAGGTTAAATCCCATTTTGATCATCTCACCTTTAGATAGGCTTGCTCTAGTTCTTGTACAATGCTATCTTCCCTTCCCTATCTCTCTTTCTATTTTTTCCATCTGTGTTTTTTTTTTTTTAACATTTGTGGTTCTCAGTTTTCTCAAACTGGACTGGGTGCTATTATATGTTATTTTTCATCAGATTGGGATGTGGTGAAAGGAAGATGGGATTTCTCTTCCAGAATCATGGACAGTTCTTTGCCTGTGGAACAAATAGGTTTTATTTTTGAAACTAGTTCTTTCACACCTGAAATCTAAGATTGGCCCTGCTATTGATAGCTAAAGTGACTGAATCCTAACCTGTGTTCATACCACTGATAATATGAAATCTCTGTAATAAAAAAAGTCACAAAAGGCATGCCCAAGTTGTCATCAAACTGCTGTGGTTCTCTACCCTTGCTATCAATGTGAGATTCATGTTCACTAAACGGTCACAAAGTCAGCATCTTGTTCCTCTTCAGATTTTCACATTTTAAGGGGTCTGTCTTGCTTTTGTTCTCCTTAGGACTCCAGCTGTTAGAATAGTTCTGGGACTTCTGAATAATCATTTATTGATTTATTAATTTTCTAAATGTTTTTGTGAATAATTGTTTTTAGGTACTATTCCCCACCTGATTTTTTTGGTATAAATTAAAGACCATCTTGGCATAGTGATAATTGAATCAACAAGTTTACCCATGTCCCTCAGGTAGCTGATATGAGGGTCATTGAATAGTGTGGGTCACCATGATAAAGGTACTGAGCCAATACTGAAGAATTTTCCCCTATGACCTAGTTATTTCCCAAAGGCACCATCTCTAAGTACCATCATTATTGGCATTAGAGTTTCAATATGCAAAATATGTGGGAAGACACAAAACATGTAGCATAACAACAACTATACTAAGATACAGAGATTAATCAAATGAGGATCTTGCCTTAGAGGATTTTATACTTAGTGGGACGGGAGACACACACATGTATGTTTGTATATACATACATACATACACACACACACACACACACACACACACACACACACACACACACACACACATACAGGTGCCAGTCCTAGAGCTTGAACTCAGGACTGGGCACTGTCCCTGAGTTTTTGTACTCAAGGCAAGTGCTCTATCACTATGAGCCACAAAGCCATTTCTGGATTTTTTGGTAGTTAATTGGAGATAAGAGTTTCACTGACCTTCCTGCCTGAGCTGGCTTTGAACTCTGATGCTCAGATCTTAGCTTCCTGAGTAGCTAAGTTTACTAGCATGGAGCCACTGGTGCCAGGCTATATTTAAGTTTCATAAAAGACAAATTTATTTTAAAAATTCATAAGAGACAGAAATCACTAGGGCTGCTGAGACAAAACATAACATATTCTGGGGTCTGGAGAGAGCCCCGCAGAAGAAATACTGCCCCAGGTGGTGCTTGAGAAATAGAAGGGAATAGGGAAGAGTGGTGGAGGCTGAGAAAATAGCTTGAGTAAAGGCAAATGGGTGGTATCTGGTGAGGAACTTATAAGCAGTTACCAATTCCACAGCACAAAGTGCAAGACTAGGAATTGTGGTGATATAACTGCAATGTTAGCTACAGATCAGGTAACATAGGGCTGCACTCTTGTGTACGATTCTCTAGATAATATGAGCCATAGAAGGATTTTAGCTATGCAGTGGCATTTTATTCATCAGCCTTTTATTCCTGAAGTTAGAATACCTACACTCCCCACCCGCCCCATTGTACTTTCTTTTTTCCCTTAGGAAGGTGAAGAACAGAGATAGGAAGAGTAATCAGCACTGGACAGGGGGAATAGTACTGTGAAAAGTTACTACAGAAAAGCATTGCCTCTTGAATCTCATTTCAGTATCTAACAGTCCTCCCTGTTTGCACATACTTTCTTCTTTCCTCTGTCCTTAGCAGTACCAAGATATTGTTGCTAGATGAAGCACTGAACAGGAGAGGAAAGCCAAGTTCAGACTGAATTGCATAAACAAACATTAACTCTAACCACTAGTGTCTCTTCCAGACCCAGGGTCCTTACTCCCGCCCATTCACAATGCCCTCCTGTGTGGTTGGGCTTCTGTGTAGTTGATTTGGTTCATTCTCCACTCAACCTCTTTCTCCTCCATATGTCTCTCCTCCCCTCATGTTCTGTGACCTCTACATGCTAATGGGGATTTGCAAGTGCTTCCAGAGACAGACCAGTTCTCTCTTGCTTCTCTTTTCTAATAGGTAGGATGGGAAATCAGGAGAACTGGGAGAATGGAACTCATATTTAAAGGGGACAGGATTGGGTAGAACATCATTGCACATATTACATTCCACGTCCTTTGTGGTTATTAGCCATTTAAAACCAAACAGGGTTTTGCAGCCAGAGATTGTCTCTGAACAGATGATTAATGGTTTAATCTGTAATAACTT